TGTCATGTTGGTGCGGTATGTATAATGTCTGCATTGCCGATCTAAAAAAGATTGTATGAGAAATCCGACGGTTCTGTTTGGCGAATCACTTTTCATGCCGTCAGCTTCTGATTCAATGTGAATAATGTCTAGATTTTTTTTAAAATCTAAATGTTCATTCTATGACTCTTTACGTGGTGAATCATCAAATGTAAAGCTTAATTTGAAGCTTCAAATATTTCTGTAATATAAGATACTGCACCACAATACGTTTATTGGAGGATGTACGACAACGCACTCAAGAGATTTCGACGTCTAACATCGATGGTACATAATTCCTTGTATTATAATGGCGGGGAACCGTGGTCGTTTTCGTTACGTCGTAACATAGGTGTTTTTAATTTAATCTTCACTTTTCGTTAGTAAATCGAAACGGACATGCAACAATTGCTAAAATCCTGTCCAACCTTGGCCAAAGTCCTGTAGAAAATCGATGAAAACGACCATGTGTACTCGCTCGTTGTGGTCGAAACATCGAATGTTGATTATGTGGCCATTTTTAATAATAATCTTAAACATTATCAGCTAAAAAGCATTGTCGATGGAAATAAATGGTTTTGCCCATTAATCTACTGGCCGGTAGTTCGATAGCGAATAAATTACCTGGGCCTTCTCGGTTAAATAATTGTGTTGTTTGCCCTATGTATCAGTTCCTTTAGCTTGGTAAACATATGATATCTTTGACTGAAGTATCAAATTACGTGTATATATATCATTAATATTATCATTTGGACATTGGCATTGTAGCTATCAAATATTATCTTTACCAATATATTATCTTCTGAAAAGAATTATTAAACGATTGAGGAACGTCTGGTTTTGGACCATAAATCATGTAATATCCTCCAAAAAGCATTGCCGTTGGAAAATATAGGTTTGACCATTCATTATAATCATAATTTGCCCATTGTTTATCTAACAACCCTGGACCTCTCGGTTACAGACTTGCTCGCAGAAAGCCCGTCGCAGCTGCCGAATATACTTCATAATATGAAAATTTGCCAAAACATCTTTCTAAGGTTTGAAGGAGCCGGTAACATTCTTGACAGAAATTCCATTATAAACTTTGTTTAATCGGTATTGCCTATCATATCTCCACTTCGTCGTCTGTTTGATAATTTTGGTAGGCTGTCGGTGGATTTAAAAAAAAAAATCTTTCTGGACATGAAAGCTGTTTGAGTTCGGGGCTTCGTTGCCCTCCTTTGGTTTTTGTCAAGGTATTATCTTACATGGTAACCAAATGTGATGTAGAATCTCAACATTCATGATTTTCAAAGACAGATTTTTAACTTCAGCATTATGAAGACTTCAAATCTAAGTCCAGAAGGTTTCCAAGAAATTGCCAATAATAATCATGACGTGTGGGCTTTTCTTTGAGGTTTCCAGCCCGAGAAGACGCTATTTATTGTCGGTGTGTTCAATACTGCGATCTGATCTGTATAGAGGCCGACCCATTGATAAGTCAGGCTTAACTTTAATTTCAACTAAAATCTATTCATGAAATTGTGTTCTCGTAAATACTTCTCACGTAGACAAACTTAATGCGTATCATGTTTGTTTTTTGAAAGAAACTCATATATGTATGTAGGCGTTGAATTCTGCTGCGAGTAGTTTGTTTCCTGTTCTGTTATTTCACCTCTGTAATTCCTGTTGTGGTTATTGGTATTAACAAGTCTCGCGGTAAGGAAAGTAAATCCGTTGTTTTGGCAAACAGCATTCACATAGGGATAGAAATACAATATGCTTTCTACTATGTTAGATTGGGTTTTGAAGTTTCAAACTACTTTTCTTGCACAAGGCGTGCGCGGTGCCACGTATGTTTAATTCCACGGTAAGTGCTCTCTGTTTAGATCTTGGTAGAGCTCTCTTTTTCAGTCTTCCTGCTTTAGTAAATGCCATTTCTATGCCAATATTTAGAGAGCTTTCCGTTTGATGAAGGAAACTGAGGTTCTGGACAGGTTTGTGTTTGTTCCCAGGTTTTCAAATGAAACCAGTAATGGCCTTCCAACCTTCTCCTGTTCCTCAGTTTCACTATCCTCGTGTTTGTATTGTTTAGCTCTAACGACTGTGTCGAAATAGTTTTAGTACTGTATATCCTTTACAATAAATCTGTCCAAATATCTTTGTTCCTGTCCATTCCTAGAATTTTCATCCTTTGCACCGTATATATTTTATTCCTGTTGTCTATTTCAGCCTATATCACACTATTGAATGTTCGCCTATCCCGCTCCTTACCGCGGTTCTTCAACGTCTAAGTCTAGTTTCTGGCATCAGAGTTGCTGGTTATCCACACTCTGTGCCCAGTTTCCGATACCAGACGGCCGCTTTCTAACATTGTCCTTTAATCTATAGATAATCTCACTTACCGAATGCACGGCCTTTATCCTTTATGTGATTTCATGGCGGCCTTTCACCCCCCTCTCTTTACCCCACACCGAGATATTCTTCTCCATATTTCTATGCAAAGGGGACGGAAACACGTGACGTGTGACTCCGCTTTATAGAGATTTTTTTCTTCGCTATACAATATTGGTTCCACCCATTCCGACACCCAGTTGCTTTTATGCTTTAATAATTGACACAGTTGTTGTGTATTCTCGTCGCCGTCACTTTTAGGACAAGATTGAAATAGGGATGTTTTGGTTGTAGAATGTTTTGATATTAGCTTGCTGGAGATCAATCCTGTATCCCGTCGCATACTTGCTTTGCTGCCATAGCCCGTTCCTTTGTTTACTCTGTCGATAAAATATTTCTCTGTAAATTCGATTATCCTCTCCAAACTACCAATATCTTAGTAAGGTGTTCTCTCCCTAAAACACTTTTATGTGAAAACAAACGATATATATGTACCTTATGCGTTTTTAGGAGAATTCTAGCGTATAAAATGGACGTCAGAACAATATGCCCCTCAGCTATATAGATATTGTTACTGATCCTGATACAAGAGTATGTGTGCCTACTACGATGTGAGTGATAAGCATCCCTGTACATAAAATATAATGGCAGTAACCGAGTTATTATCTGTATTAATACTGTGTGCAGAGCGCGTCCTAGTATTCCCGGTCTCCTTAGGCGTAAACAGTCGCCTGGATTAAATTACTGTGAAGCGTCAATTTATATTTTTTTATATAAATTGACGTATGCTATCATTGCTTTTACTTCGCTTTTTTTAAGTCCCCTGAACTGACTATATATTGTAATATCCGTTTCTTATTATTCCGGTTCCGACGATAATTTTCTCGACCATTTTCTCTAAAACTGCTTGTTGATTTCCAATGAAACTTGACATGAGAATAAATGGACATTCGGTACTTCATTTTCTGATCGGCCATCAAACATAACAGTCGCGGCCTTTGATTGGTTGAAATTTAGATGTTTGTTTTCTCAAAAAATGGTATGTAGGTGTATAAGAACACTGCAAACACAACAGCAACTGACGTTTCCTCTTTGGACAGTATGGCCGTCGTGTTCTGTCTCCATTGTCCGATTTCGATCAAATTTGGTACTTACATTTTTCTGTTAGTATTGATAACGGCAGTGAGACCTCAGTGCGATGCAACATTGGTCACTATGCAGCCACGCGCAATTATGGGGGACTTGCATAACGGTCCCCGTACCAATTAAAAACTTAAAGCGTTAAGTCAATTAATCAGGCTCGCGGCATCCTTGAATGAATGGATCAAACACAAACGGAGTGTCCCTTTGAGACCGAACACTCTTTACATTATCAACCAAACCGATTTTTGTACAGCATCTTTTCATACCGCATTACATTGTATAAGCTTTTAGAGTTTATTGATTTTCGTATGAAAACCATTAAAACGTAATAGACTGGAACTATCGTGTAGCTCGGCAGCTGGGCAGACCACAGTGCTGGTGGACTGCAAGCTGGGATGTCTACGTAGGCGAGGCAATCCGTTTACATCAATCGTAAGAAGCAAAAGGCAAACAAAATACTAAACATTCTGGACGGATGCCAGTAAATTCAAGCTGACATTCTTATTTTGCGTAACCATAGTAGCAGAATCCAGCCACTGAATTAGATTGCATGTGGATCTATTCGGAGACCTATATACTTTATACGTCTCTGATCCATCCAACCACAACTTCCTTATCAGTTATAAGATTAGCCTTTGATTATACATACATATGCACACATCACACTGGTGCCCAAACCGTTCAAAGGACAGAAATAGTGATGGTGACATATTTTAGTGACCTTGACCTTTGGCTGAACAAGTCCAAATACAAACTTGTCTAAGGTATGTCAAATTAACTGTACTGTACCTGTGCAGTTTCATCAAAGTATGTGAAGAAATATGGTCGCTAGAGTAAAGAGATGGTAAACTTGACCTTTGACCAATCCAACCATATTCAAATTCTTCCAAAGTATGTCTAAGACAACAACTGATATTATTAAGTTTTACCTGTCAATCAGCCGTTACATTGATGGCAAAGACAAAGATAACGGTGGAAATTACATGTTTTGTAACAGCAATCTCGGACCAAAAGCGCACACACATGTCGAAGGCATCTTGATGGTTAACAAACCTGTAACATTTTGACAAACTCTGTCAGGAAGTACGGCTGCTATAGTAATGACAAGATGACAGACAGACATGACAAAAACAAAAATACTCCTGACTTCATGCAGCGTACAATAAATTTCCCGGTAGTATGTTTGAGTTAAAACTCCAAAATGCAAGCAGAATGGGAGATAGTTAGCTTATTTCAATTAAACTGCAAAATGTTACTTTTAGAAAATGAAGTGCGAGATCCACCTTCATATCAAGCGTTGGTTTTATTTGTTTGGGGTTTAACGTCTGGTCCTCGCAGCAGCTGGTGTCAAGAGAGATCAGGTAACCACAAAGATTCGGTACACACGATACATATTTATGCACCAAATTAACTCATTATCATCCATGTCTACTTCTAGGTCATTCAAACAACATACACTTCGCTTTTAAAACCACAATGTATCATTTTAATTTAAATATCCTGTACAAGTATACATAGGCAAAGGCTGTACAAGCAAGGAAGGAAAGCAGATTCTGAAATAAAGATTACTGGATGTGGATATATATTGTGCTACTTTGATTTTATACTCATCAGAGAAAATCAACATAATGAACCAGTATATAGATAATATAGAGTATACACAACTGGATCTGGTCTCATTGAACCTTTCTGCTAGTATATATATATATATATATATATATATATATATATACAGGTGAGATTGCCTTCGTTTGCATCAGTACAAATTACAGTGGCTACAGCAAGTTACATTAGCTACAGTAAGTTACATTAGAAACAGTAAGTTACATTAGCTACAGTAAGTTACATTAGCAACAGTGAGTAACATTGGCTACAGTAAGTTACATTAGCAACAGTGAGTAACATTAGCTATAGTAAGTTACATTAGCTACAATAAGTTACATTAGCAACAGTAAATTACATTAGCTACAGTAAGTTACATTAGCTACAGTAAGTTACATCAGCTACAGTAAATTACATTAGCTACAGTAAGTTACATTAGCAACAGTAAGTTACATCAGCTTCAGTGAGTAACATTAGCTATAGTTAGTTACATCAGCTTCAGTGAGTAACATTAGCTACAGTAAGTTACATTAGCAACAATAAGTTACATTAGCTACAGTAAGTTACATTATCAACAGTGAGTAACATTGGCTACAGTAAGTTACATTAGCAACAGTGAGTAACATCGGCTACAGTAAGTTACATTAGCAACAGTGAGTAACATTAGCTCTAGTAAGTTACATTAGCTACAATAAGTTCCATTAGCAACAGTAAATTACATTAGCTACAGTAAGTTACATTAGCAACAGTGAGTAACATCGGCTACAGTAAGTTACATTAGCAACAGTGAGGAACATTAGCTATAGTAAGTTACATTAGCTACAATAAGGTACAATAGCAACAGTAAGTAACATTAGCTACAGTAAATTACATCAGCTTCAGTGAGTAACATTAGCTATAGTTATTTACATCAGCTACAGTAAGTTACATTAGCAACAGTAAATTACATTAGCTACAGTAAGTTATATTAGCAACAGTAAGTCACATTAGCAACAGTAAGTTACATTAGCTACACTAAGTTACATTAGCAACAGTGAGTAACATTAGCTATAGTAAGTTACATTAGCTACAATAAGTTACAATAGCAACAGTAAGTAACATTAGCTACAGTAAGTTACATTAGCTACAGTAAGTAACATTAGCAACAGTAAGTTACATCAGCTTCAGTGAGTAACATTAGCTATAGTTAGTTACATCAGCTACAGTAAGTTACATTAGCAACAGTAAGTTACATTAGCAACAGTAAGTTACATTAGCAACCGTAAGTAACATTAGCTACAGTAAATTACATCAGCTTCAGTGAGTAACATTAGCTACAGTAAGTTACATTAGCTACAGTAAGTTACATTAGCTACAGTAAGTTACATCAGCTTCAGTGAGTAACATTAGCTATAGTTAGTTACATCAGCTTCAGTGAGTAACATTAGCTATATTTAGTTACATCAGCTAAAGTAAGTTACATTAGCAACAGTAATTTACATTAGCAACAGTAAGTAACATAAGCTACAGTAAATTACATCAGCTTCAGTGAGTAACATTAGCTACAGTTAGTTACATCAGCCTCAGTGAGTAACATTAGCTATAGTTAGTTACATCAGCTTCAGTGAGTAACATTAGCTACAGTAAATTACATCAGCTTCAGTGAGTAACATTAGCTACAGTAAATTACATCAGCTTCAGTGAGTAACATTACCTATATATAGTAAGTTACAATAGCTATAGTTCCAATTATATTTTGCTTTACTTTCGCAAAGGTGTTACAAACAATGCTAAATGTTTGTTTTGGCAAACTGTTTCAGCACCTATGTATAGGTATTTGGATGTATTCATATTGCTATTTCTTTGTTCTATTTCATATTTTCTAGCATAAATATCAACTTTGACTCATCCAAACAATAAATATGAAACATATATACTTAAACACTAATTATCAAATTCATGCACTCAATTAAGAACAGTGCAATATATCATAGTTACACTTCTCGCTTATAAGTGGAAATTCTTCAGTTCAGGTACTAGCTGTACTTAATTTCTGAAGAAAAAATTAGAAAATCATCAATGAATCACATGCTTACCCAAATATAGTGGGATTAGCATCTACATCAGCTTCAGTGAGTAACATTAGCTACAGTAAGGTTGCTGGATCATGTGAGTCCAGATTATACACTAGTGTCAAACATAAAAAATAATCTGATTTTTCTTTCTAAAACAAATTTCTGATTGTTTTTTCTATCTGTTTATGGAAGAGTAAATTTAACACCAATGCAAAACAAGACTATTTTTGCAATTTTAAGACCACAGGAGTCATCATGGATTTGCTCCAATGACTATGACACAAGTCTGGTGAGGTGGAATCTTTGCAGTTTAACAGCAGTCCCTAATGTTCCACAGGTATTTCAAATACATATACAGTCAATAGTGGTGTACAAGGAATCTGGTTAAAGTGATACACAACCACTTTTTTGTTCATATATGGGACATTGGAAATACACAGCGAAGGGTTGCCTTTAGCATTGATGGTGCAATAACGATATTTTTTCTCATTTTGCTGGAGTAGTTTTAAGTCATCCCTGTGTTCAAGCTGAACAGGTTTGGTATAAATAACTGTGTAAAGTACTCAAACATGTTGGATTCAATTGCCTTTTCCCTTATACATGATGAACAGGTTTATGGTGTTTTTATGTGCTTAAAATATCAATCAGGAAAACTGGGAGATGACTTGAAGTCTCCATTTCAATATCTATCTGTAATTTAAGTAAATGTTCTCAATAACAATATACAGTAATAAAACTAGAGAATATCACATGACAACCTGAAACTGTTAAGTTTCTTGTCCACCTACACTACCTATTCCAACTCTCTAAACTGACAGTTTCCTGCCCTCACACTACAAATTTGTATCGCCAGTCTCATTTTCATCTCCCAATACATCAAAATTTTTGTCCACACACTGTCCATTTTTTGTTACAACATTTGCAGCTTCCTGTCACCACCCTTTCAGTTTCCTGTCTCCACATTTTCAGTTTCCTGTTTTCCAAATGCTATGTCATACACATCCTTGTATTCGCTGGCATAGTGTACTTCAAGGTCCTTGGTGATAAAGTCGGGAAGGTCCGTGAAGTCCCGCTTGTTCTCGGCTGGCAGTATTATACAGGTTACTCCCGACCTCTTGGCCTGAAAAAAAAGAGGAAATCAATCATTGTAGCTCATAAAGAAATCAATCTGTTGCATCATCAGGATTTATCAAGACATTTTGGTGAACAAAAACATTTACAAAACTATTTTCTATACATGATCTAATACACAGCCCTGTAACACGATCTGTGTCAAAAATTTCTAAAATCAGTCGAACATGGCCACATCTAAGGATGTATGATGTACAACATCACTGAGGAATGAAAGGCTTGGAATATATAGCGAGCTAGTAAAACAAGCATTAGTGATAACATACACATCATATATAATTCTAATACTAATTACTGGACAGTGGACTTCACATTAGTGATAACATACACATCATACATAATTCTAATACTAATTACTGGACAGTGGACTTCACATTAGGGAATCCTGCTTATATCAATTGACCATCATATATGAAATATACCAAACTATTGTTTACATATACATTTTAAAGTACAAGTAGGTTCAAATAAGATGAAGTTGGTGATGTGGCTTAACCACACAAAGGGATCAGTTTTATCATCAGCAGTTCTACAAAATAGCTGCTCTCAGGCAAGTAGCAGAAGCGGGAGAATGTGGCAGTTTATAGACTTTAGTTATAAGAACACCAGGATCTAAGCGAAAACCCCATATAAACAGGAGACTTGGCATTATTGTGTCTATAAATCTTTATACTAACACAGGGTTTCTCAAAATCTATTTTTATATTGGTTTTGTCGTCTCATTACAGGAAATCAGGATTGCTGCATCTACATACACTATTCAACATCTTTTGAAGCAGATGACTAGACTTATCGCCATTATTACTATCACTTAAGTACTGTACTTAACATATACGCATGTATTAGCATCAAATAAATCAAGAATTACCTCAGAATGATCAATATATCAATTGTGTTTTTACAAATATTAGTCCCTCAGTGAATTTATAAATATTGCAGTCCCACAGTGAATTTACAAATGTTACAGTCCCGCAGTGAATTTACAAATATTACAGTCCCACAGTGAATTTACAAATATTACAGTACCACAGTGAATTTACAAATATTACAGTCCCATAGAGAATTTACAAATGTTACAGTCCCACAGTGAATTCACAAATATTACAGTACCACAGTGAATTTACAAATGTTACAGTCCCACAGTGAATTTACAAATATTACAGTCCCATAGTGAATTTACAAATGTTACAGTCCCGCAGTGAATTTACAAATGTTACAGTCCCACAGTGAATTCACAAATATTACAGTCCCATAGTGAATTTACAAATGTTACAGTCCCACAGTGAATTTACAAATATTACAGTCCCACAGTGAATTTACAAATATACAGTGAATTTACAAATATTACAGTCCCACAGTTAATTTACAAATATTACAGTCCCACAGTTAATTTACGAATATTGCAGTCCCTTAGTGAAGTACCAACATAAAGTCACAGTGAATTTACAAATATTGCAGTCCCGCAGTGAATTTACAAATATTACAGTCCCACAGTGAATGAACCAAACGTACATTACAGTCCCGCAGGAAAAGTACCAATATATGAGTTCTATTGCGATATATGGTCTATTGACAACTGCAGTCACAATCATCAATCTCAAAAGATATTTTACAGCCTGTAGAGCTTTGTCAGAAAAAGATGTGAAAGTAATGCTATATGAAACAGTGCATAACTGGAGTACATATAACGACCTTCGCCACGAAAAGTTCACTGGCCTCCAGTATATCCCTTATCTACGATTTTCTTTGCGATAATTATCTCCACAATTAATGTCATAAACCATAACACTATAATACATACATTCAGCACTATGATCTATCCAAAGGCTACTGTGGATATAAACAACAATTTCAATAGAGCAAATCATTGTAGGCTAAAACAACAAGTTCGTATCATCAATGCCATTGATATTCATGACAGTGAAACGATGCCAATTTAGGGCAGCCTCCTGGCTGGTAAATCTCACAAGTGTTCCCGCTGGTATTTCTATGGTCTCATATATGACAGGAAGTGGAGAATTTAGATGGAACATGTTAAACCCAGACACCTCTGATGCCAAACCTAAAGGCTGTTAATGTCAAGATTACTTCTACTTTTCATTCCTATGTAGAAGCAGAAGACTGGCAGGACATAGCAACAGAAGGCTGGGGATACAGTGATGTTCTGGCAGGACATAGCAATAGAAGGCTGGGGATACAGTGATGTTCTGGCAGGACATAGCAATAGAAGGCTGGGGATACAGTGATGTTCTGGCAGGACCTAGCAACAGAAGGCTGGGGATACAGTGATGTTCTGGCAGGACCTAGCAACAGAGGGCTGGGGATACAGTGATGTTCTGGCAGGACCTAGCAACAGAAGGCTGGGGATACAGTGATGTTCTGGCAGGACATAGCAACAGAAGGCTGGGGATACAGTGATGTTCTGGCAGGACCTAGCAACAGAAGGCTGGGGATACAGTGATGTTCTGGCAGGACCTAGCAACAGAGGGCTGGGGATACAGTGATGTTCTGTAACAGGTACACAGCTCCACTAGCCTGATATAATAACCCGTGGCTAGATTTTATCTCCAGAGAGAAGTGAAAATTTCAATATTTGCTTTGGAAATATAGATCTGAGGCTGGTAGAATTTTTCAAATTCTGTCAGTTGAATTATATAATGAATAATTGAATATACATGTATATGTTTGAATATGTAAATTGCACATCCTTGCTTCTCCCTGCTTAATAACTGTTACAAAGGCGTGTAACTCCACCAACAAGTGCTGATTGTAACGAGATTCATGGGGACAACTACTAATTCCCTGAAACACTCCTGTAGTCATAAATGATGCTACTGGAAGTTGCAGCAGTGCTTGCAATAGCAATATAAACCTAAATTTAACAAGAGGCCCATGGGCCTTAACGGTCACCTGATATATTTATACAGAGAGTTGATTTTGTTTTTAACATGAACAGAAATATTATTCAAAG